CTCACAAATCAATGGCTTTTACATATGCCAACAATAGTCAAGTTGAGAAAACAGTGAAGGACTTTATTCCTTTCACAGTAGTGCCAAAGAAGATGAAATGTTTGGGAATTTACCTAACAAAGCACGTGGAAGATCTTTATAATGAGAGCTATGAAAATCTGAGAGAAGAAATAGCTGAGGATGTTAATAGTTGGAAAAACATACCATGCTCATGGCTGGGAAGAATCAACATTGTTAAAATATCCACACTACCCAAAGCAATATGCAAATTGAATGCAATTCGTATTAAAGACCCCCAGTAGTACTTACAGATCTGGAAAATTTTGCACTTCGTTTTATATGGAACCTGAAAAAACCTTGAATTGCCAAGACATTACACAAGAACGAAAAGAAACAGGAGGAATCACCCTACCACACTTCAGGCTATACAATGAATATATAGTGATCAAAACAACTTGGTACTGGCAGAAAAACAGAGGTAGATGTATGGAAAAGAATAGAGAACCAAGAGAAGAACTCAGAAACTTATTGCCATTTGATCTTTGGTAAGCCTATCAAAAATGTAAATTGAGGAAAAATTCTTTATTTAACAAATGATGTTGGGTAAATTGGCTGGTGAGTTGTAGAAGACTGAAACTGGTCGCACACTTTACAGCATTAACAAAAATTAATTCTTCCTGGATAAAAGATTTAAACTTATGACATGAAACTATGAAGATACTTGAAGAGAGTACAGGTGAAACATTTTAAGAAATTGGCCTAGGAGAGTTCTTTATGAAGAGGATCTCCCCACCTTCCCTGGGAAATTGAAGCAACACCAAAAACAAATTACTAGGATCTGATCAAAGTAAAAAGCTCTGCACAACCAATGACACAATAATTAAAGCAAGCAGAGAACCCTCGACATGGGAGAATATATTTGCAGGTTATGTTTCTGACAAAGGTTTGATAACTAGAATCCACAGAGAACTTAATCTTATAGGAAAAGAACAAGTGATCCCATTTCATTATGGGCAAGAGAATTGAACAGAAGCTTCTCTGAAGAAGAGAGGGACATGGCCTACAGACACATGAAAAAAATGCTCATCATCTTCAATCATCAGAGAAATGCAAATCAAAACCACTTTGAGATATCATCTAACTCCAGTAAGAATAGTTCACATCACAAAATCCCAAAACTACAGATGTTGATGTGTAGGTGGAAAACAGGGAACACTTCTGAAGTTCTGGTGGTAATGCAAGCTAATATGTTCCTTTTGGAAAGAAGTTTGAAGAACACTTAGAGAACTAAAAGTAGACCTGTCATTTAATCCTGCTATTCTTCTACTAGGTATATATCCAGAAGGCCAAAAATCATTTTACAACAAAGATATTTGCACCAGAATATTTATTGCAGCCCATTTAATAATTGCCAAGTCATGGAAGAAGCCCATGTGCCCATTGACAGACAAATGGATTAATGAACTGTGGTAGATATATACCATGGAATATTATGTAACTATCAAAAATGGAGACTTTATCTCTTTTATGTTTACATGGATGGAGCTGGAACATATTCTTAGTAAGGTATCTCAAGATTTGAATAAAAAGTATTCAATGTACTCAATACTATTATGCTACCAATATATAATCACCCATACTTTCATACAAAAGATAAAACACAACTATAGCCTAGAATGAAGGAGGGAAGAGAAGGGTGGAGGGAGGGGAGTGGGAAAACCAGGTGGATGGAGGGTAATCAGTGCAGCCTAAGCTATGGTGCATATTCAAAGGGTGCATGTGAAATCTATTAACAGTATAGTATTAATGTCTTAACACAATACTTAATGAAGTGAGTTGAAAGTTATGCTAACCAGTTTGGTGTAAGCATTCCAAATTATATAAAAAATCAGCACATTGTACCCCACAAATTCATTAATGTACACAGTTATGATTTAATTAAAAATTGTTAAGAGACAAAAAGAAATTTTCTCTTTCACTGTACTTTAATGTACATAAGAATTCATAATACAGAAAGCATATTTCATTGTACTAAAGAATAATGAATATCTTTCATGCCATTCAAACTAGTATGTGTTAACTAAAATAACAAAAATTCAAAAGCATTTAAGTTTTGCACCCAAGACTTCCTTATTATACTACATTATTCATTTTTGAGACAGAGTCTCACTTCGTTGTCCCAGACTTCAGTGCCATGGCTTGAGCATAGGTCACAGAAACCATACTCCTGTGTTCAAGCAATCCTCCTGTGTCAGCCTCCTGAATGCCTAGAAGAAGCCTGGCTAATTTTTCTATTTTTAGTATAGATGGGGTGTCACAACTACTTAAGCTGGTCTTGAACTCCTGAGCTCAAATGATCCTTCTGCCTAAATCTCCTAGAGTGCTAGAATTATGGGCATAAACCACTACTATGCTGGCCTACATTCTTCATTTTTAATATATAACTATGATGTCACAGTTACATATTAGATTTAATTTTTAGCTGCTTAAGGTATAATTGAAATACTATAAAGTGTAAAATTTGGTAAGTTTGACATATGTATACATACATGAAGCCATCACCATATCAAGATAATCCCACTGAAAGTCTCCTTATGGCCTTTGGAAATTATGGTTCCCCCTACTGCTATAACATTCATGTAATAGCACTAATGTACTTTCAGTCATTCAGCATGAAGTTGTTTAATAGCCATGCCTTTGGTGGAGATGAAAATTTTTGCTGGAGTTGAATTCCACCTTTAGTGCCTGTGGTTTGAGATGATACAAGGTAGTATTTCAGTTATTTTAATTTTATTGATGTTTTATTTGTGTCCTAGAATATGATTAATTTTAGAGTGTGATTTGTGGGCTGACGATGATAATGTATATTCATTAGCTTTGGGATGGTGTATTCTCTTTAGGTGTATTAAGTCCAATTGTTATAGGGTCACATTTAAGTTCCTTCTTTGTTTAGTTGCTGTTTAGAGGATCTGTCCAGTTTTGTCAGCGGAGTGTTAAAGTCCCAAGTTATTATCACATTGTAAAATCTCATATTATTCAGATCAGTTAGGATTCATTTCATAAATCTGGGAGGATTTAGGTTGGGTGGATAAATATTTACAATTGAAATGTCTTCTTCTATTCTTCTCTTGACTAATATGTAACAACCATCTTTGTATTTCTTTGGTTTGTTTCTTTGAATCTACTTGTATCAAAAAGTAAAATTGTGACCCCTTCTTTATTTTTATTTCTATTTGCCTAACATATTGTTTTCAACCCTTCACCCTGAGTATTCTTTGTTCTTCAAGGTTAGGTATGTTTCCTGGAGGTAAATATAGATGGCCTCTGATTTTTCATGTGGTCAACCAGCCTGTTCCACTTCAGTGTGGAATTCAAGCTATTAACATTTATTGAAAGAATTGATAAGTATGGTGGAGTTGTAGTCATCTTATTTTGTGGACGTTTGTTGCTTTGTTTTCTTCATTGCTTCATTGTGGCAGCTAGGTTTTGTTTTTTAGTTTCTGGGTGTTTATTTTGGTGGCATTCCATTGTTATAGTCAGTGTGAAGAATGGGTTTGTGTATTTCCTACAGAGCTTGGATTGTGTAAAATTTTCTCAATGTCTCCATGTCAGTGAAAATTTAATTTCTCCATCCAATCTGAAGCTTAGTTTAGCAGGATACAGTATCCTGAGATGAACATTATTTTGTTTAAGAAGGTTTATGGTAGATGTCCACTCTTTTCTGGCTTGAAAAATTTCAGCTGAAAAGCCCACTGTCACCCTGTTGCATCTGCCTCCATAAGTTAATTGGTGCTTACTCCTGCCTGCTTATATTTCATTTTTCATTTTGACCTTGGCCAGTTTTATTACAATGTGTCTTGGAGATGCTCTGTTGTGTTGAGATCAACCTGCATTTGATATCCCTCTAAAAGTAGGGTGTTAGAACTTTTGGTGATTCTTGGTAAATTTTCTTTTATGATATCTTACAGTAGGTCTTCTTTTCCTTTTGATTGTTCTTATTTCCCTTCAGGGATACCTATATTTTGTACATTTAAATGTTTCATGAAGTCTCATAATTCTAAATGCAATTGTTCTGTTTTTATTTTTAAATTAATATGTATTTAAAATCATAACCATATGCATTTATGGGGTACAATGTGATGATTTAATATACAATGTGGAATGCTTAAATCAAACTGATTAATATTGCCATCATTGTTTTTTTTTTTTGTGGTAAGGCATTTAAAATTTACCTTTAGTTTTTGAAATATATCCTTGTATTGTGCACATTGAGATCCCACCAAATTCTCTCCCTTCTACTACTAATTGCCCTCCCCTTCCACACTGACCCTACCCCTCCCTTTCATCTTCTCCTCTCCCCTCCCCCTTGATAGACTATATTTGTGTTTTATCATTCATATGAATGTGTCAGTGCTTATATATTGGTTTCATAATAGTCTTGAGTACATTGGATACTTTTTATTCCATTCTTGAGATACTTTACCATGAAGAATGTGTTCCAACTCTATCCAGGTAAATATAAAAGATGTAAAGTCCCCACCTTTTTATGGCTGAATAGTATACATATACCACAGCTTATTAATTCATTCATGTGTTGATGGTCACTTGGGTTGCTCACATGTCTTGGCAATTGAAACTTGAGCTACAATAAACATTCTAGTGCAAATGTCCTTGTGATAAAATGATTTTTTTTCTTCTGGGTATATACCTAGTAATGGGATTGTGGAATCAAATGGACAGTCTACTTTCAGCTCTTTGAAGTTTCTCCGTACGTTTTTCCATAGAGATTGCATTAGTTTGCAATCCCAGCAGCAGAGATTCATTGTTTTTTAAATGCTAGTATAATTGTGAAAGACATTACAATAAAAAAAATGAGAAGGCTTTTTACAAATTTTAAACAGAAGAAATATATTTAAGGTAAAGTACACAACATGATGAAAGATAATATACAGGTATCATGTCTCATTTCTGGCAGCTTACTTGATTATCTTACCTTTAAGGTGTGGTTTCCAACAAATGCCAATTTCCCATGACTGGTGGAGCTCAGGAACATTTTCTGTGCACCGGTCCAATGTGTCGCTATGCTGAAGACCTTATCCCCATGCTGAGGGTCATGGCAGGACCTGGGATCAAAAAGTATGTTTATGTATTTTCCTTACTTACTCTGCCTCCTGTTCTGTCATTCATTCTTTTTTTCTTACTGTCTTAGAGGTAAGCATGCAGGCCTCAAGTAAAGGTATTAGGAGTATTAAAGTGTTTTTGTTTTAATGAAGAAGATTTTTATATAAGTAGACATCATGCTTCACAAATTGGGAGAACACTGTGTAAAAATATTTTACTGTGAAAATAAAAGCATAGAGATGCCTTATGTTTGGATCATAATGGTAGCCTGTTTTGTTCTTCATTTGTCAATTTGAGTATAAATAGTTAGCTCATTTTAAATTGAGCCTTTCTCTTTCTTTGTCATCACGTACATATTTTCCAGTCTCACCTGTGCCTACTATGCTGCCTGGATATCTGTATTCCCCTATATATTTCTTTATTGTATTATCTGTAGCATTTGATTTCTTAGTATCCCCATTTTCAGCAAACCTGTAATGTCTTTCTCTCCTTAACAATTAAGTGAATAATCCTGCAACTTATCTCACTACAAAAATGCCATGAGTATGTAACCTTTCTCGGCTTTTTACCATCAACATTTCCTAGGTCTTCAGCTACTAATTTTATTTTGTCTACTCTTCAAGTGAACAAAATGTCTTTTCTCTTTGCATCACCATATAAATATTTTCACCTATGCTGTGGATCGCATGCTCTCTTACTTTAAGTTTTTTTTTTTCATTACTTACCCTACTATGACTTCAACCTCTTTCTTGTGTGTGCACACACATGAGAGTATATAGAGGCTCCTTCTCATTATTATTAAACGTGCCTAAATGTCTCTAATCTTAAAAACAGGTAAAACTCTTTCTTAGCCCCATGTTCTCCTATAGATACTGTTCTATGTCTTCAGGCATAATGAGTACTTAAGACCCTATTATTGGCAAGGGAGGGCACCCTCAGAAAAAGGGAAAATTAAAAAGTAAGCTGAAGGAGACAAAACAAAAAAAAAAGTCAGCTCGTTTACCTTTAAGCTAGCCATTGCGAAATTTCTTATCTAAACAAGTTTCTGCCCTTTCCTGAAACTCTGGCTTATTGGGGATACAGCTTACACCAATACCCTGCTGAGTTTGTGAATACTCTGAGGAAGGTAATGATCATAAAACAGATTATGACAAGACCTAGAATAGATACATCTTCTAGGTCATTTTCTGCCCTTTAAACAGATAAAGCAGGTATCCATTGTGGAAATTTGCATTTGGTTGAGGCGGAGACCAAGGGAATAAATAGCTCGAGCCCTGAGATATGGGCAAGAAAGCTTAACATCCCTAATTGGAGAGGAAAATCCTCTGTGGTGGTGATGAGAGGAAAATGCCTCTCTCCAACCAATTCCTCAGAGGAGATTAACACCAGTGGTGTTTTACTCCATAATAAGCTAGTGGAGCTTAACACCTCCCTAGGAATCTGTGTGTGTGACTTCAAACAGGTGGCTTCCCCCATACAAGGCTCAAGTTTCAGATACTCCCAAACTCCTAAAGTCCTTAAAGTTAATGATAATAACAATAGAAGCTGATATGTCACTCAGGGAAACTACTGGTGTCTTTGTTCCCTCCCTCAGCTTACCACCTGGGCAGAGAGATTTCAATAAAAGCTGAGTGGAACCAAGATTGGGGCCAGTCCCAGAGCCCACGAACAGATGGTGGTCCCTTGAGCTCCTGCCTTTGAAAATTCTATTCTGTGTCTCACGTCTCTTTCTTTATTGTTGTTCTTAACTTTATATTTCTTCAGGTGGTCGCACCAGTTCCACAGGTCTTAGTTGACCCTGCCCCCAGGGCAGGACCCCAAAATATGTCTGTTTTGTCTTCATAGCCAAATTTCTGGTGTGAATTAATTACACTCATTAAGTCAAATTTCTCATATTTCTCCCTCATTTCTCGTCCCACTACTTACTGGTATTCAACACTTAAATCATTCTTGCAAAGGTATATGACTTTTTTTAATTGCTAAGGACAATGACTACTTCTCAATACTTATCATTCATCATCTCATAAGTAGTGATACTACTGAAACAATCTTTGCTCTTGGCTTTTGTGATTTATACTCTTTTGATATAGTTCCTTTCCCTTTTCATCTCCCTTGCTAGCTCTTTTTCTGCTGTTCATTCCATATATTTTGGGACTCTAGTGGGACCTGGTTTGCTTCCCTTTTCTCTCTACTTACTCTGTCAAAATGACTACTTCTACAATTGCCATTTTAATTATTTTTCATATATAGATGATACCAAAATCTTCATCTAGAGCCTATTCACACCTAAGCTACAGGACTGTATATTCACTGGCATACAATTATCTTAGATTTAGTATGTCTAAAAGTGATTTTGTTTTCCATACAAAGCCCTAGAACGTCATCCATTACCTCTATTCTTATCCAATTTCAGTGACTGGACTACAATGAACCCAGTCACTAAAGCTTGATTTCTCATTTCTCTCACTCCTTACATCTAAGCAATGATGAATCCTATCAAACTACCTTCTAATTATTTCTTACATCTTTATTTTCCTTTCCACTATCATAGTTATGATTCTAGCTCAGGACACAATCATTTCTCTCCTGAATGTCTGCCATAGTCTTCTACTTCTAACTCCCTCTGCAATCTAGACCCATTTAAAACTGTTCCTTTCCTTGGTACCTAAGTAATAGTCTTAAATCCCAATCTAAATTTTAAAAGCATTAGCATTGTTTCTGGCACACAATGCTAGGCAAAAAATAATTAAAAAATCCATTAGACTGGAAGCTCAGATGTTAAAAGTGAACTAGTAAGTACATGTAAAAATTAATAATTTTCTGACATCAGTTCCTTTTTAATCTTCCACAGGTTAAAACTGGACACAAAGGTACATTTGAAGGACATAAAATTTTACTGGATGGAAGACGATGGAGGTTCATTTTTAACATCCAAGGTGGACCAAGATCTCATTCTAGCTCAGAGAAAGGTAATTTAAAATTAATTTTGTCTAATAGGATTAATATTCACTCAAACAGATGTTATTCTGACCCTTTCCCTCAACTTTCTACTATATTTTTCTGTGCCAGCATACATAATTAAGGTGATGATCATGGTTATACTCAATAAAATTTGGTGTGATTTTTAAAGTCATTCGCAATATATATTTTTTTAAATTTATATTTTAATTGAAAACATTTCAGAGTACTACGGGGCATATATGATTAGGCTACAAAGTTTGCTTTTGTAAGGTTAAAGTTTGAGTTGTAGGTGTGACTTTCACTGAGGAAGTATGCAATATATCCGTGTACTGTACCTGTTGGATGGTAGTTTACTCATCCTCTTTCTCCCTACCCCCTAATTGAATTTTAATAAGTTTTTTTCTCTCATATGAACATAAAGGTAGGAATGTAGTTACAATTTAGTATTTACTGCATGTGGTGTTT